CCATTCCTATCCCCAGGCCACAAATATCCTCTCCCCTGTTGTCCACATTTGGATGCAGGACCGCGTCTCACGGGGGTCAGGAAGCCCACCCCTGGTTCTGTTGACCTTGGCTTGGAAGAAGCTCTGTTCCTTGTTTCAAGGTTAAGGGAAGTCCACAGATACCTGGACTTCTGTCCCTAGAGGGAGCTGGTGACCGTGTATGGAACCACCATGGTTTACAGGGCTGTGAAGGGCAGGTGGCCATTTGCTGGTATGTGTGGGCAGGGGCGATTCAGCCAGCTGAGTGCCATTCAGGGCGACAGTTGCTGTCACACACAGCTTGTTTGACCCAAGTGTGGCTCATACCAGGCACAGCTGTGCCCCTAAAGGCTTTATCCACACAAGAATATCTTTGTCAGTCCCTAGGGCTCCAACAAGGAAATGTGAATAGTTTGAAATTAAAAAAGAATGGGGTGACTAGCACACACACAGCTTCAAGGTATGCACCGGTAACAGGGTGGGCTCCATTCTGCAGGCTGGGGTGTGTGCTGGGACCTGATTTCTCACAGGTTCCCAGTAATTTCCGTGCCAGTGGCATCAGAGCCACACTGAGTGCCCAGGCCCCAGGCTGTTCTGTTCCTCTTCCTGGGAGACAGCTCAGCCGTTGGTGGAGAATCACTCACAGGCAGAGAAAAGCTCAGAGGGCATCAGCCAGCTTTGCGGCTTCTGGTCATTTTTCTCCTTGGTGAGAGATGCCACTCTTAGCCTTTCAGATGTCTGTAGATGGTTATGATCCCTCAGCACCTACCGGGACCCAGTGTGGGCTCAAATAAAACTCTCAAATCTTCACCTGACAAATGTCCACAAGAAGGGGAGCAGCAATGACCCCCATGATGAATTTCTCCATGGCTGAGTTGTTTTTGTTTTAAATTTCCCACATGGAGACATCCAGAATTTTAGAGGTCACTGAGCCAACTTCTCGTCCATTAATGGAGCCTCTGAAACTGGGTTTTTCAAGCCCCTTTGCTCACGGTTCATGAGAATAAATGTAGCTTGCATCATGACCTGGCATACGGCTGACTAACAAATGTTTTCACAGAACCGAAGCTCCCTGCCCTAGTATTAACCTCTCCTGTGATCAGTCTACAGGATAATCTATGTGGTTTTAAGAATGTTAGAAACATTGCATAAGAAAATTTAAAATAATGCTTGTTGGACCTGCCACTGGTTTGAACCTGCAGCTGGAGAAGCCATTCTCTACACGTAAATTCAAGGCAGGCAGCTCCCAGCTTCATCTGGCTTGGCCCTCAGAGAGGCATTTAACAACCAGTGGCTGCCTTCATGTGCAAGGCAGAGAGCAACATGTATGTAACATGTTTTCTTCATATGAATGTGGAACCCCATGGTGTTGAGGGAGGAGAATTAGTAGTCTCTGAGAAGCGCTCAGCCCGTTGCAAGGCCATAACAAGCACTGGAGTTATTTGGCTTTTCATTAGCGGTACTTATCAATCTTGGAAAACTAGTAAAGTCTTCCTGGCCAACTGGTCCCAGTTCAGCCGTGAATGGACACACAGACTTCAAGTGACCAGGGGGCTGTAGCAGGAATCTTACAGATTCTTATTAATAAAATCAAACCCAGGGCCAGTTATTGGGGTGAAATGCTGGATGGTCAGAGAGACAGAACAAGCCACAGCTAACCTCACCTGGCCAACTTCTCAGCTGGTCTTGCTTCCTCAGACTGGAAGCCTCTGTGTCCTCATATCCGAATGGCTCTCAGCTGAACTGTGCTGCTAGAAGCCTGAAAGCTTAACCAGCCAAATGCTTAACCAGCCAAATGCTTCTAGTTTCTGGTCTCCACGCCTTATATACCTTTCTGCTTTCTACCACCACTCCCTGGGATTAAAGGCTCACTCCCTGGGATTAAAGGCATGTGTCACCATGCCTGGCCTTTTCCAATGTGGCCTTGAACTCACAGAGATCCAGAGGGATTTCTACCTCTGGAGTGCTAGGATTAAAGGTGTGAGTGCCACCATTTTCTAGCCTTTGTATCTAGTGGCTGTTCTGTCTCTGACCCCAGATAAGTTTATTAGGGTGCACAATATTTTGGGGAACACAATACCACCACAGGGGGCAAAGATCTAAAAGTCTGAATCCTACCTCCATGCCCTGGCTGACTCTCTTGTGGCTTCTAGTGACCTGTCTCCTTCTGCCGTGGGATCTGCTAATCCCCAGGCCTCAAGGGATGCCCACTCAACAGTTGATGCCCTTGAATGGAGCTTGCTGAGCCTGGGCCCTGAAGCCAGCCTTTTCCAGATTCACTCCCTGTGTGGGGTGCTGGGTCGACGTGTTTTCAGTCGAAAAACATGGCATTTAAATCAAGAGCACTGTATATTTGATTTTTAAAACTGTGTGAGACACATCTTTATTTTAGTATTAATAATAAACACAAGTCTGTGTGCAATAAAAACCCATCAGTGCACACTCGGAGAGAGGATAGCTCTCAGCATACACCCAAAGAAGCCAACCCAGGCCAGCATTCAAAGCTGTGTGATGTGGCCCATGGAGATGTGAACCTGCTATCTTGTATGCGGAGCCCATCTGCAAATAAATGCCTTCAGACCCCAAGAGTGTGAAATGGAAGGCCCTGGGGCAGAATGCAGCCTGGCCCTAGGCTGTGCCTCACCCCATTACCCAGCACACATCAGTGCTCTGAGCCCCAGTCAGCAAAATGTTGCCGGGCCACCACAATGCCTGAGGGAAGGCGGTGGAGAAGGGCACCATCTGTGGATGCACAACAGGGTATCTGGGACACCCCTCCCCCACCAAAAAAATCCTCTTTTCTTTGTGAATTAACTCCCTTTCCTCTTTGGATAGGTGACCTCAGTGGTGAGATGGGTACCAGAACTCAGGGCTCAGAGTGGCAGGATTTCTTTTGCCTGCAGTCCAAGTTCTTTCTTCCTAACCCTTAAGTACCATATGCTTTCTGAGGGAACTCACAGAGTCCGAGGAGGGAACTCATTCATTTCGCAGGAGATCCGGGGAAGCTCCTGAGTTTACCTAGTCCTCATTGCCAGTCTAGAAAGAAAGATTTAAATCCAGAAGGCAAGAACCGTTCTAGACCACATAGCAGGCCCAGGATGGAACCAGAACCAAGGACTCCTGACTCCCAGACCAGGGGGACTCCATCACAAGCTCTGCTCACTGGCACTCCTGGCCAGGCAATGCCCACAGCCGAGGCGGCGGCAGGGCTCCCTGGAGGCCCCCCGAAGGGAGTGTCCTTCCCTCTCTGAGCTCTGGCTCTGCCTTCTTTAGCTTTACCTGCTCCTATCACCACGGCATCGTACTCGGGCTTCAGGCGCCCCCCGGCTCCCGACTGAGCTCGTTTCCAAGCAGGGCGGGGAGAGGAGTGGAAAGCCCTGCAGAGACCTCGGCGGCTGGCAGCCATTTCTGCCCCCAGCAATTTTCTTGCAGTCAGCTTTTTCCAGCGGCCCAGGAGGGGGGAGGGGCTGAGTTACAGCCTAGTGTCCGCCTTGGCCTTGGGCCACATTTCCCAGGGCCTGGCCTTGGGCTGCTCTGAGTTTGCGCACCCTAGCCTTGGGAAGGGGGCGGGTAGCCTAAGGATCAGCAGTCGGTGCCACCTGCAGTACTTAAGGACCAGAGTGAGAACCATTAACTAGGTTCTCTGGGGCCCAGGGGTGGGACAGAAAGAGGGTAGGAGGGAGGGGTGGAGCCAAAGCAGAGGCCCCGCCTTCCCTGTGCCTCCTTTCACAGTAAGGGTGCGGGGTGCCTGGGTGCGGGGCAGAGATCCTGCCCAATGGGAGGGGCACAGTCCAGTCAGACTTCACTCCTGCTTGAAGGGTAGAGTCCGACCTTGCAAAGCGGCAGCTGCTCCCTGTGGCGGGGACCTCCCAGCCACCTTTCAGCAGGACCAGGGCCAGGGCCTTTGGTCAACAGAAAAGGCCACCTACTTCCCTGAGAGCTGTGTGCTCCCTCCTGCACACTCCACCGAGGCTAGTCTTGCTGGGCAAAGGCAATGACACTGTCGTGATTCTTGAGGGTCACTCCTTTGAAATTCTGGACAGTTTTGGTTTGGGACCTTTCACGTTTTCCAGGGATTCTCAAGGATTCGAACTCATACCTGCAAATCACCACAACTAGTGTGCTTCCTTACTGTCCCTGTATCCCGTCTCTAATGGGGGATCCCTTTGGACCTGCCCACTCCTCAGGAGTCAGTCCGCCGCAGGAGAAAGGGCACCGGAAGTGGAGAGTGCTGCACTCTGAGCTGGGCAACCTAGTGTGGCAGTGAGAGGCGAACCTGATAAGAAGACAGACTGGGGGAGGGGCCGTGGCTAGCTAATAAAGACTGTGAACTTCCAAGATGGCTGGCTTCTACCTCACCCTTCTGTCCTGAGACAAATTCCTGGCGGCTTAAAACAAAAGCCTGGCTAGGCCTTTTCTCTGCCAGTAGGGCCCACCGGCCTGTGGACCATGACAAGGTCAAGGTCAGACTAAGCTTGTTCACCCCAAAGATGTGGATCTCTCAGCTTCCCTGTCCTGTTTTTTCCCAAACTGACCAAGCCTAAATTGGCAGAGGCCCCCCCAAATACCTTTAAAACCCCGAGACCTTTGGTTTCCTGAGCGCCCCCCCCCCCACTGCTTTGTAGTGTCTTTTCTCTGTGTGACTTGCTGGGGGCATGTTTCTTCGTCCAAGGGGAGCAGGGCTGTACCCCAACATTCTGGTGGCCCCTGGTCCTTGTATCTATCCTGAAGTAGGTACCTCTTGGTTAGAAGGGAGGGCTGTACCCCTAGGAAGTTCTCTGGGTATACTGCTTTTCTGGGGAGCTTTAAATAGGCACAGAGCCCTGTCTTCATGGTGGCCAAGTGAATCTGAATCTCTGGGCACAGATCTCAGAACCACTGGCCCGGGGCAGGGGAGAGCAGGCTTGGGCAGGCCTTATGGAGGGACTTGTGGAGGGATTCTCAATGTCACCAGAGAGGCAAGAAAGACAGACACATATGGCTTGGATAATGACAAGAACCAACATTTATTGAGCACCTACTGTTTTCTCCTGACCACCCTGAGAGGTAGGCATTACCGGTTCAAACATGAAGAAACAGGATTCTCCCAGAGTTGGAGGGGGAGGTAGCTTGGCTGGAATGCTGGCCAGCAGTAAGAAGCAGCTACCCCATTCAGAATGGTAGGAAGAGGGCGATGTCACACAGCCTGAATACTAAAGACTCCTTTCTGCTCTCCTGGGCACCCAGAGAGGCAGCTCTCCAGGGAAGCTGCTGCCATCTCGGACCTCACAGTGCTGGAGGCCCACAGAAGCATGGCATCCCCTTCCCTTCAGAGAAGGCTTGCTCATTAGCCCATGTGGAGGAGTCAGCGGTGGCCTGTGAGAGACCCAGGGCTGCTGGGGATGGCGGGAGGAGGCCTAGCTGTGGGGAATGCCTGCAAGCAAGGTTGGCTGGAGATCAGGCAGAGGACAGCACCCTCCGCCTAGGGCAGGGTCACCCGGGAGGCCTCCCCCAGGCGCCGGGCTAGCTGGCTGGCCTGCTGCACCAGCAGGTCAGTGGGGATGACGGACAGGTGCAAGGTCAGTAGCTCATAGCAGCGGACGGGTTCCGAGGGGCGGCTCTTGCTGTAGTAGCGCAGGAGTTTCCTGCAGGAGATAGGGCGGGGCTCAGGCAAGGCCAGGGGGGATTCCTGGCCACATGAGCCTCAAATGCCCACCCCACAGTTCTCAGAGAATGACCCAGGCTGTGACATCACCTATTGCTCCTAAGCTCCAGCTCAACCTAGGGACACAGTCCCTTTCTTGGGCTCTCTATCCTTGAACAGTGGTGTTTTAGCTAATGTGTGTGTGTGTGTGTGTGTGTGTGTGTGTGTGTGTGTGTGTGTATTATTATTAGTAGTAGTAGTAGTAGTTGGGGGGGGGGTACTGAGGTCTTCCCGTGCTGCAGCTGAGACTGCTAGCATCAGGACAGTAGGGACTTGAGTGTGCTTCTGGGGCTTCCCCTATCCATGCGAGATTCGCCCCAGCTTTGTGTTGTCAAGGCAGCTGCTCACTCTTGGAAAGGCTACTCCCCGGGCACTGGAGCCCTCGCCACCAACCCCTGGGGCACACGGGGGGTCCAGGGCAGGCCAGCGTCACCTGTAGTAGTCACCTCCCAGCACTCCAATGGGGACTGAGTCATCCGAGAGGACAGGCACCTCCATCATCTGCAGTTTGTAGCCCTGAGGGAGGAGGCAGGCAGTCTTAGGACAGGAGGGAGGGAGCAGAGGGTGGGCTCCAGGGAGACGTGTGAGGTGGAGTCCTGGCAGGGCTGGCTGTGTGCCTTATCTCTGTGTGTGCCCCATGCTGTGTGTGTCCCATGCTGGGGGACAGCATGTGTACCCCCTTTTACCTTGCTTCCTTGCCTGGGAGGTAGACACAGCCTCCCAGGGGGAGCTGGGTTACTGAGGAGCTCAGAAAGGCCCAGGAGAGGGACATGGGGTTGGGGGTTGGGGTTGTTCCAGGGTCTTGAGAAACAAAGGATTCTCAAAAGACCCCAAGTCTCTGTTTTGAAAGAAGTGGGAATCCTGGGGCAGGACAAGGTGGGGGAGAGACGTAAGATCTGTAAAGCATGTGTGCGGTATCAGGCACAATTCTGATCCCTTCAGAGTCTCCCAGCAGGGGCTCAGGTGGCACCACAGGGCCTGCCCCATAGGGGGACGCCTCAGCAGTGTTCAGGAACCCTGGGTGGCCTGTCGCAGTCAGTGATCAAAACTTGGTCTCCCACAGCTCCGTGGTACCCCACTGTCCCATGGGGCCACTCTAGTCACCAAATCCTTGTCCTTGAAGCTCTAGCCCTTGGAGGGCACTTAGGAAGACCAGGAGCCCGAGGGTCAGGGCAGCAAACCTTGGGCTTCAGCTCCATCATTTGAGTTTTGTGGACCTAGCCATAGTGTTTATCACCAAGACAGCAGTGTGTCCCCATCTGTAAAATGGGCCAACAAAACCTATCCCAACCATTCCCCTGGGTTGTGAGGGACTGATGAAGAAACTACATTGCACTATGGTAAGGTTGGGTTGTCACCCTCAGTGAGCGGAGAGAAGAAAGCAAGAGCCAGGGAGGGTACAGGAGCAGGACAAGAGGCCCTGAGGGAGGGAGGCGTGATCCTTGGACAATTAGCAGTAAGTCAGAGGGAAGCATTAAGAAAGAGGCAAGGAAAGGGGGCGGGGAAGGCAGAGGCAGTGGATTGAAATGACCTTGTGGTACTGGGGTGGCGGTGAGGTCTTCAGTACCGCACAGGCTGCTGGGAGCAACCCTTCGGCAGGCTGGTCAACAGCCTTGAACCTGGGTCTTCCCAGAGCAGGGGCCATGGTGCAGCCTTCTTTGCACACACAGGAACAGTACTGAAGTAGAGCTGAAGGTACGGTCAGGGCAAAATGCCTTCTCAGAACAGGGAGCGTCTCCTGTGGTCGGCTCACATCTACCTGGACAGTCCCACACCCCTGCGCGGTGCTTACCTGCTCCTCACCAGGGACAAGAAGAGACAGACAGATGGAAGAGCGCAGAAGAAAGCTATCCCAGGGGTTAGAGCAGCAGTCAGCTCTCAGGACCGTCCCGCCCAGAGACTGGGCACACCCACCATGTCATTCTCGAACCACAGGAAGTAGGAGCAGCGGAAGTCCCCTTCCTGGAACAGCAGCGTGGTGCAGCCCTTCTGCAGGTACCTGCGTGCCAGCCGCACCAGAGCCCAGACCTGGGGAGGAGGAGATTGCTTAGCACCACTCTCATGGCCATGGCCTCCGTACGGAAAGGGAGAGCACAGAGCGGAGGGGTTCCTGGGCGTCCAGGGCTTCTCAGAGGCAGGACGCTCTCTGGGCTCAGAGTAGTGGGAGCAAACCATACAGGATGGATGCCAGAAGGGCTCCCCCTCCAGCTGCTGTGGGGATAAAATACATGTGGAAGTGCGTCCTGCAACTTTACTATACACACGACCCAGAACACAGACCTGAAGGTTGTGAATAAACCCACTTGCCGGGTCTGCAGGGCTGCGAGGCAATGGTACTGGCTCCGTGCCAGAGGCCCGGGGAAGCACACCTACATGGCAGTGAACTCTGAGCTGTGGCATCACCTGCTTCAGGGGTCGGGCCGAATGGAGGCTCACTACAGGGTGGCTATAAACAGTGGCCCCGAGGGACTTCCCGCTTTAGGCCCCTTCCTGGGAATGCTCTGCCTAAAGCAGGTATTGATGCCTAGGTTGCCTAAGGGCAGCCTGAGGGAAGGTCTCCTCGACTAGACTTGCCCACATGCCATGCCAGGGCCGGGAAATGACCCACTCTGTCAAAAGCCTCAGTGGAAGGGATGTGGGATTTACTTCGTGCTTGACCATAATGTACTATCTAATTAAATCTGCAATAGACACAGGAGCCGGCTCCAAGCTCCAGGAACACAACCTGACAACACAGATAGATAACTTTAATAACATCCCTCCCACCTGACTTTGCACTCGCATTTCTGGGGATCCTACCGAGGACACCCAGGGATGAGGACTTAGGCGTTCGCACAGGTGTGTCCACAAATCATTTCTAACAGTGACAGTCTGGAGACAATCTAAAGGTTCGCTCAGCAGGGGACGGCTTTGTGAATTACACTACATCAGCATGATGGGCCGTCATGGGACTGCTAAAGATGAGAAATGTAAAGAGTTAACGGCGGGATGCGACACACCTGACACAATGTGGATGAGAATGTGTCACTCAGCCCTGTGCTCGCAGAGGGGGAAGCACGCGGATGGACCTTAAGGGAGGATTGAGGGATGATGGGCTAGCGTCCCACTGCCCGGGCAGGATGCAGAGGGAGGGAAGAGGTGGTAGGCGAGGAAGGTGGCGGTGCTGTGCCCTGCAGGCTCAGCCCCTGCTCTGCCCCGGCTATGAGAGTTCACCTGTGCTTGGTGACCTGTGCCCTTTGCACTAATATTACGTCAAAAACAGTAGCATCTCCGCAACACATGTTGGAATTAAAGAAGACCTGAAATGTAACTAAACCATGCCAAGGCCACACGATGAGCAAGAACAGAGCTGGCCTTCCACCGTCTAGCTTATTTTTTTTTTTTTAACCTATCATGATACACTTTATGTGGACAAAATAAAAACATAGCATTTTAGAAATGGCAGAGGTGTCCCTTTCCTTCAAAAAGAAAACCACCAGTCTGTCATGAAGAAGTGTCAGTTAAATTAGAAGAACAGAGACAGGTGCTTCTTTAGCAGAAATCACCCAGTTGTACACTTGGCTGGGCTGTGGGTGTAGCTCAGGGGCAGAGTGCTGGCTCAGTTCCATATCCAGCATGACAAAGCTAAAGAAATCAGGTTCTGTTGTAGGATAGTTGTACACCGTGTGAAGGTGTATTGTTGTGATTGGTGTAATAGAAAGCTGAATGGCCAATGGCTAGACAGGAGGTATAGGCGGGATTTCTGGGGAGAGAAGGGAAGAGGAGGAGGAATCGAGGCACCTGGGAGATGCCAGGAGACACAGGAAGGAAACAGGAGGTGCAAGAGGTGTTAGAGAGGTAATGTCTGCCACATGATAGAAAGTAGATTAATATAAATGGGTTCATTTAAGCTGTAAGAGCTAGTTAGGAACAAAGCCTAAGCTATAGGCCGAGCTTTCGTAATTAATAAATCTCCATGTCATTATTTGGGAGTAGGTGGGACAGAGAAAGACTCGTCACCAATTCTGATGCCCAAATTTGTTGACCCTGATGTTCTTTCCAGTTTGGCCAATTCAAAAGACCCTGGATGAGCATTCACTTATGCTGGACGCTGACCTGGTTCCAGCACTGTGGATGCCAGGCACACCGAAATACACCAGGAGCGGCTGCTGATGTGCCCGGAGGATCTCTGGTCTGGAGGATAAGCTGCTGAGCTCATGGCAGATGTAATTAGGCACACAGGTCACGGCGGATGAGCACAGCAGTGCTATGCTAGAAGCAATTAGCGCCTCAGAGACCAGAGTGGTCTATTTCTCCTGGGTCGGGGCCAGGCCTCAGTGTACCCTGACAAGCAGCAAGGAGCACCTGCACCAGAGGACCAGTTACCTTGGCTTTGACGAAGGCAGCCAGGGGCCCCTTGCCCAACTCGGAAGACATCTTCTTGCTGCTGCTGAGAGAAGGGGCCACCATCTGCCCAGTGGTACGGTCCACATAGATGAAGTGGACCAGGCCTGGGAAGTCCTCCAGGTAGGTGAAGGCCTGAGTTAAGGGACTTAAAAGCCAGCAACATTGGGGGTGCCTCTGCCCTGGTCATGGGGTTCTAGATTTACACAGACGGGGCTTAGGGGACCGCTTCTGCCTCCCAAGGCCCAGGGATCTGATTTTCCCTCAGCTCTCTCCCCCTCCCCGCGCCCAGTCTTAAGATCCTTGGCACCTGCACGTTTAATATAATCTGCACTCTATGGGAAGGACGATGGTGTGTTCACAGCTGGTCATTCCAGCAACAACACACACCCTGAGGCTGGCATGTAAACAGAGCCACTTAGCTGATGAATGAGCTCGACGGACTGCCCACCCCTCACCATGCTCCTCTTCTTCACCTGAGGAGTTGGAAGCATCACAGCTGAGAGGGGAACAGACTCCCATGGGACGGCAGTGGCTTATGGCTAAGGGGCCTTGTGGCTTCCTGTCACCTTCCTGCTTAAGACCCAAGTCCCAGAGACCGAGCTCAGAAACGTGGGAGGTTTTACACAGAAAAGCTGCTTCAACCCCCCCCGCCCCGAAACCAGTGTAAATAAAACTAGTTCCTATAACGCACAGATGCGTGTCTTGGAAACAGGGACGCACATCCATGGTGTCCCACACATCCCAGTGCTTTTACCTGCCACAGCACTGTGACCATCCATGGAGGTCTCAGAGCAAGCAGACCACCCTGGCCCTCATGGACTAGGATTGCCATTTTGCTGGATGGACAGAAAGGTCCTTGAAGACGTCTAAGACAACTCTGGAACAGCAGGGATTCTGAAATTTCAGCTGTGGGCTATTGTTATAGATGGGCACATGGGACACCGTGGCAGAAGAACGCACATGTCTAGCTCCCCCTGGGGCCTTGCGCCCTGGGGACTCCGGGCTTTCTTGGGCTAGCTGAGCCAGGCAGAGGATATGACACCAGGGTGACGTTCCTCTGGCTCTTCACCAACAGGAAATCCTTCCAGTCCAGAAGCCGCTCCCTGGAGAGGGAGGGAAAGTGGCAGATGAGCTTCTGTGCAGAGGCCGGCCCACCCCCTGCTCATGCATGCCACCCTCGCTTACCTCATGAGTTTCTGGGCTTGCTCCTGCAGGTGCTGGGGCAGGTGAGGGCCTCCCCTGCTGGGGGCAGTGTCCAGGAAGCTGAGCTGGTAGATGGCACACAGCTGTCTCTTCAGCCTTCCACAGGCCTGGAGCAGCCTGGGCCAGGACACCGAGGGAAAGACACACAGGGCCTCTGGCCACACACCCCACTGCACTGGGAAGGCAGCTGCCTGGCTTTCCCTAGGGGTGTTCTTTGCCACACAGCATCTCCTTGAACCACATCGTTTTGCTAATACGTGGGACTGTGACTGGCCTTAGGTGGTGGTACCTGCTCAGTGCTGCATCCGGGTACAGCCCAGGCCTCAGTGCTTGGCGTTAGGTTCTCATGTTCCTGGCCTTCATTCCCCTCCAACCTCCCATGGTCTGGCCCTAGCTCCATGGGACTCCCTCTCTGTCATTTGCAAATCTTCAAATACTGCAGCAACTCCCTGTGAACAACTCCCCTTCACCCCAAGTGTGGCTACTCACTCCCAGGATGATCCTGCTTCACTTCTAGAGAAGGCCTTGGTCTTAAACTCCAGCCAGGAGCTCTGTAAAGAAGGGTAACAGGTATGTTCCAGGCTGTGTTCTGCAGGGAGGTCAAGGGAGACTCCGTCTACACCTGACCCTCCAGGAACCCTCCTGTCCTCCTGCCGCCAAATCTGGCCTTCCCGGCAGTCACTTAGCAGGGCATGATGTAAAGAGCAAGTGGAGGTCATGTGGCCTTGACGGGCACAGACATGCACCCATCAGAGGGACTAAGTGAGTCCCTCAAGGGAACACAGCAAGCTAGGGGACCAAAGAGAAGTGGCTGATGCAGGTGGCCTGGGGATGGGTTGGGGTAGCCTCAAGGGGATTCTGGCTGGTGCTCCCCAAAGTGAGAAGTCAGCATTGTAACAGCTGTGCCACCACAGTGCCCAGGGCATCCGGGATACCATGCTGCCCGCGACAAGCCACCACGGTGTCCAGGGCATCCGGGATACCGTGCTGCCCGCGACAAGCCACCGCGGTGCCCAGGGCATCCTGCCGACAAGCCAGGGCTCCGGTTACTTGCTCTCTCCCTGCTAACCCTTCTGCCCCCTTCAGACAACACATATTCCAGCTCCTCACACAGACTCGGGCAGAGCCAGCTACAGCAGAGGCCCCAAGCTGTCAGTGAGCCTTCTGTTCTAGAACTCTGCCACTTGGAGGAGGTCTTGATGGGAGCCTGTGGTGGCCTGGCCACTGATTTCCCTACATGCTCAGTGCGTGGTCTCAGTCTCCACCCAGCTCTACTTTCCATGAGGCCAGCTGGGAGAGTGCCCCGTGATGGGCAGGGTCTAGCGCCACTGCTCATGGGCTGGCTACTCTTGGCTACATCATGGTTATCTAAGCAAGCCTGTGTCCTGTCTAAAGCACTGGAGTTACACTTTGAGTTCTGCTAAATTCCTATAAAGAGGTTCTGACAATGTGAAGTCCAGCTATTCGTTTGTTTGTTTGTTTGTTTGTTTTTATCATTTAATAAGGACAACTAGGGCCATAGACTGAGACAAACATGGACAGGAACCAGAGCTGTGTGCCCCTCATCTACCGGGGATGAACTGGGCCCCCTGCCAGCTCCGCCTCTTCTCCAAAGCTGGGTGCATGCAGTATCCGGGTCCTACCTGAATCTTTTGTCCAACCCGATTCTTGATAAACTTGTCCATCTTCTGGCGTAAGTCTCCAACAAAGGGCTGGGACCGCAGGGCACTTCCAGGCTCCTGACCCTCCTTCAGCTTTTTCTCCAGGAGGGAGAAACCGTCCAGCAGTTGGTATAGGACCAGGGCCAGCCATGTGTTGGAACTCTGCCAGGAAGAGTGGATGCCATGGTGGAATGGGGTACCCAGGGAGAGGCCAGGCAGGCCCCGAAAGCTCTAGGGTGGGACAGCGGCTCTGTACCTTGGTCAGCAGCACCATGTTGATGCCCGGCCACAGGGGCAGGTAGTACATGGTGTGGGGCACTAAGGGACAGTAGCTTTCTTTCACATTGGCATCCAGGAAGATCCTTCTGGGGCTGGAAGGTTCTGGGGAGTGTGGCGCCAGCCCCTGCAGGGTGTCCTCGGCCATCTGTGGAGGAGGAAGACCTGTCAGTCTGGTGGAAGAAGAAAGGCCCAGGTTCTCCTACAACTTGGACCCCTCACCCATGGCTTCCGTTCCTTGCCCAACCTCTCAGTCACAAGGAGCAAACATGTTTAGCTCCCAACCCTGCCCTGAGGTCTCCGTGCTGCTGAGGCTGCCCTAGCAGCTCCCATTCTCTCTGCTATCTGCCTCTTGGCTTCTGCTGGGCTGTTCTGTCCAATCAGGACTGGATGCCATGACGGGCAGTGGGGGTGGGGGGTGCGGGAGCTGGGTGGGTAGTCAAGGGCCATCTGAAGAGACGCAGAGCCGGGTGGGAGAAAGCTCTGCCTTCAGGGAGAGGAAGGAACTTGTGAAATGCTTGACATTTCAGTCACCCTCAGAACATTCCAACGGCCCTCCACACTGGGGAAACTGAGGCATAAAATGACTATATGAACAGGACTCCAGCCTGCATGCACATGAAATCTTTTAGCAAGAAAAATTAGAGAATTAAAGAAATCATGAGAGACGGCACAAACATTTCTCTGTAAGGAGGTCAGTCTAGTTATCTACAACAATAAAAAGTGGGAGCCATATGCTGATCATTCTGGGTCTTGCTGAATAAATAGAAACACGTGCGTGGATGGACTCTCCAACGCCCTCACAAGCTGCAATGTTGAAGGGTTCTGTGTGGACAGGAAAATGCTAGGAAAAAGGAGAAGGAAGCAGAGTAGACTGCAAGTGTGAACAAGAAAAATGCATACAGTACGCATACACATGTTCCTGCAGTGTGTGCATGAGTGCACGTGCGTGTGCAAAATAACAGTTAGAAGGCAGCACCTAAAACATTTTTCACCTTTGAGGGTGGGACCGAGTTATCGATACTCAGTCCCTTCCATGTTTGACTATTGTTATTTCTCATATCTAAATAGAAGACAGATATCTAAACTTTAATGTTTCAGTATCAGCCCTTCAGCTGGGCTTTCACTTCCCCGTGGGGGCGGTCACCTACACCGCTCTCCCCAGCCCCGCTTCCCTGCTGAGCTGCGCTGGAGCCCCGAGGAGACAGTGGTGCGGCTGGCTGCGGTGTGGAGTTCCCCAGGAGGGAAACCTCAGCCCTCGGCGGCATCTCAGAGCAGCGGTGCCCAGGGGGACACAGGAGACTCACCGGAAGAACTTCGGTGGGTGGGGTGCCACCATCCAGCCAGAGGATGCTACCTGTCACAAATGGGAGCAGAACTGTGGAAATACTACAAGAGTGTAAATGACCCCACAGCCCCATCTCCCACTCCCGTAGCTTAGGGGTTCTGGATTGCTGACAGTTCAAGCCATTTAGCCCCAAACACTGGGTATGGCAAGGCTGTTTCCTGTGGCTCTAGCCCCAGAAAGCCATTCCCTCAGAGTGCTCCAGTGCCAGCCCAACTCTGCATTTCCAGGGTTAAATTAGTGTGTGTGTGTGGGGGGGGGGGGGCAGAAGCTTCCTGCTGGGAACTAAGCCTGTGGTGGGTATCTGGACACAGGGTGGGTGGTGGGGTGGTGGTGGTGGGTGGGTAGGTGGGGTGGCACATTCCTCAGACCCTGCCTTGCTCCCCAACCCCCTCCTCGTTTCTGCTCTCTATTCCTTCAGGTTGCCCTACATAGACAGCCAGCATTTCCCCATTCAGTTATTCACACACCAAGCTTGCTGAGCGCCATTGTGTGCAGGGGATTGAGCCTGATTTCCTTCCTATGGGGCTCACCAGCCTATTGAAGCCACTATATGTTTGAAATATTACATGTTTGTAATATTATCCTTTCTTGCACTTCATTGCAAATAACCCTCATTTATAAGCAG